ATATATATATATTTATATATCCATTTCAAAATAAATAAACAATTTAAAATTTTTAAACATATATACAAATTTAAATTTTTCAAAAAAATAAAAATGCATAATTATATAATTAATTTCATAAATTTATAAGATAGATAAATAAAAAATATATTAATATAAATAATTATTATGTAGCAAAATATTTATGCAAGCAATAATAATTAGAGCGTGCTTTGCATAATCATATTCTTAAGATAAATCAATTTGCCTTGTGCCTATAAATGTGTCAATGAATTGAGCTTGGTATATTTGGTGTCGTTATTTTGCAGCGACCATTATTAAATCCTGTGATTTAGATTGAAGGCAAGTGAAAGTCATGGGGCTTCAGGGCACAATGGAGTTGGTAACAAACACAAAAAGGACCGGATAACCCCACATGATAAGTTTTACAAATTTCAGATGTATATGAAGCACATGGGAGACGGAGTAGTGAGATGAAAAGTCAAGAACGAAGTGTGAGGAGAGAAGGTATATGAGGCGGCTGTGCTAAGACGTGTAGTACAAGTGATGATGTGATGGACGAGGATGAGAATGAGGGGAGGGAGGAGGTGTGCGTGGTAAGATGGCGTGCGTGTGTGTGTGTGTGTGGGTGTGTGATAAAGTGTCTGATGATGTGATGAACAAGGATGAGAGGGACGAGAGAGAGAGAGAGAGCGGGAGTGAGTGAGTGAGTGAGTGAGTGAGGTGAGTGAGGTGAGTGAGGTGAGTGGAGTGAGTGGAGTGAGTGAGGTGAGTGGAGTGAGTGGAGTGAGTGGAGTGAGTGGGGTGAGTGAGTGAAGTGGAGTGGAGTGGAGTGGAGTGGAGTGGAGTGGAGTGGAGGGGGGGGGGGGAGTGAGGGGGGGGGGGGGGGGAGGGGGGTGAGTGAGTGGAGTGAGTGAGTGGAGTGAGTGAGTGCGTGGAGTGAGTGCGTGGAGTGAGAGTGAGTGAGTGAGAGTGAGAGTGAGAGTGAGAGTGAGAGTGAGAGTGAGAGTGAG